TTTTTTTTTTATTTTTTTTATTTTTTTATTTTTATTTTTTTTTGTTTTTATTTTTGTTTAGTTCGTTTTATTTTGTTTTGTTTAATTAGATTTGATTGGTCGCGCAGGAACACAAATATGTGCGCGTACCAGGTAACTTTTTTTTTATTTTATTTATTTTTTATTTTTTTATTTTTTTGTTTTTTTCGTTTTGTTTTTGTTTATTTCGTTTTATTTTGTTTTGTTTACTTAGATTTGATTGGTCTTTTGCTGTGTTCGTGTTGCTGCAGCAGCAGCAGCAGGAGCAGCAGCAGGAGCAGCAGCAGCAGCAGGAGCAGCAGCAGTTGCATGCATTTGTTTTGTGTTGCTGCTGCAGGTATGATTCTTGCTGCTACATCAGCAGCAGGAGCATACAACCGGCAGCAGCAGCAGCAGATGCAGCTGCGCATGCGGGAGCTCGCGGAAGCAGCACTAAAAGGACTGCATGTATACTGTCTTGCTGTGCCCATCAGTCAGTCTGCTGCTGCTGCTGCTGCTGCTGTTGCTGTTGCTGCTGCTGCTGCTGTTGTTTTTGTTGTTGCTGCTGCTGTTGTTGCTGCTGCTGCTGCTGCTGTTGTTACTGCTGGTGCTGCTGCTGCTGTTGTTTTTGTTGTTGTTGCTGCTGTTGTTGCTGCTGCTGCTGCTGCTATTGTTGCTGCTAGACAAAAACCAAAACAAACAAAATAAATAAATAAATAACTAAATAAACAAAATAAATTTGTGTGTATAATGCATGCAGGCAGCACGCGAAAGCCATCAGTAGGCAGCTTGTTGTGTGAGGTGTCTGGACAGCTGCGTGCTGATGTTTTGCTGCTGGGGTCCCGGCGGCATTGGCGGCTGCGGCGTGTATTCTTTGGTTCTGTAGCTAGCTATGCGCGCGCGCATGCAAAGTGCCCCGTGCTGCAGTGTTCTAATGCTTAGATTGCTGCTGCTGCTGCTGCAGCAGCAGCAGCAGTTGGTGCTGCAGCAGCAGCAGCAGGAGCTGCTGCTGCTGCTGATGCTGATGCTGCTCGGCTTCAAACGACACCTGTAGCTGCAGGGGAAGCGGAGAAATGATAGCAGCAGCAGCAGCAGCAGCAGCAGCAGCAACTGCTGCTGCTGCTGCTGATGATGATGGTGGTGCAGAAGAAACAGAGGTGTTCATGGTGCTGTTGCTGCTGCTGCTGCTGCTGATAAAGCAGCAGCAGCTGCAGGTTATGGATCCGGTGAGACAGCAGCAGCAGCAACAGCAGCAGCAGCAGCAGAAACAGGGGTTAGTATTATGCTGCTGCTGCTGCTGCAGGAGATGAAATTGATCTATCTTAAAATGTTTGCTGCTGCAGCAGCAGCAGCAGCATATGCAGCAGTAGCAGCAGCAGCAGCAGCAGCAGCAGCAGCAGAAGCAAATCCTGCTGTTGCTTGTCCTACTACTACTACTGCTGCT